TGGAAAAAGGTAAGTTTTAACCCCTTTCCCCCTTCCAGAGCCGGGCGGGAGGGGGACCCTGAGGGTGGGGACACCCTCAGGGCACTATAGTGCCAGGAAAACGAGTATGTTTTCCTGGCACTATAGTGGTCCTTTAATGTAGTAGTTCTGGTGAGTATAATAGCTCCCTTCAGGCATTTTCATGTAAGAAGGGGCAGAGGGGCAATGCCAATTAAGGGAAGGGACACACCGTTGGCTTTATAAGAAGTATAAAAACAGGAAAGATATGAAGATGGAGTAAAGAGTGGTGTAAACATACACATTAGTGACTAAATCAAGATCTTTTTAGAATATAGAATTATTTGAATTTTAATCTCAATTATATACAAGTCCAGCTTCTTTTACAATTGGAGATATACACTAAGGCACACCTACAAAGTATTATTTATATTTTTTTTATAAACAAGAAAAAAAAAAAAAAAAAACATTTACAGGTTGGGGTGGTACCTAGTGTCTCTCCCAAAACAGGGCACGGCACATTTTATTGGGATCTCTGAAACAATCAAGTCTGCAAATACAGGATACTAGCACCCCATAGAGTGACATTTGAAGACTCCTGGTCACATACACATTCTTGGACAATTGTGAAATAGCTAATTACTGGTCAAACAGAACTTTAATGAGCTCCAATAACCTCCATTACCACCTTAGATTGCAATAGTACACGCATTGCTTTCCTACATAGATGCAATCCACTAACAGCTTAATTTACTTTGACATAGGTACCTTAATTTAAAGAAAAGAATACTGTATTGCCGAAAAGTTCAAAAATAATTTCTGTGTAACTTGAGACCTAAGCTATGCAGAACCTGTATGGCCTTTGAATAAAGTATACTGCATATCAGGTGATAACCAACCTCTTTGCACAAGGTACATTCACCCAGCACCAGATAAGAGCAGATTGCTGTAGGCTGCAAGTCATTCTTATCATATTAAACTGTATACTCCCTGTAGTGATCTATAGGCACAACGCATACGACAGTAAACAGGTACTAGCAGCAACATTCAAATTGGTAAGGGCCACACATTATATATAGGATAATTCACAATATACACATCTTGAAGCTGAATGGTCAATTGTCAGAATTTGTAATATGTTTATATATCCCTATTTTTACCAAATATGTATTTGTGAGGGGTAAAAAAAATAAATAAAAAAAATAAATAAAAATTCAATGTAAAAATCCACACCTCTATATCCTGCATCTGGGTGCTTCCATGTAAACAGCATTAAACATGTTGTAATTCGCTTAATCTTAAATATACACTAGAGTTCCTTTTACTCCCCTTTTCTCACATGCTCCGCCTCCATGGCTGAGATCAATCTTGATGATCTCAACCAATCCAATGCTTTCCCACAGGAAAGCTTTGAGAGGCTATTGTGCATGCGCGGCAAATCGCCACGTTGCGCCAATCAGCATCTCCTAAAAGAATCTCATGAAAAAGGTTAACACAACTCATAAGGGATACTCAGTGTTATTCAATGGTGTAGATTCCTGAGAAGTGACAGTTCCCCTTTAGCGCTTTAATTCTAATCTTAAGAATCTCCACTGGTCATTCACATGCATCGTGTAAACACAGTACAAACAAAGGTTGCTACCTCTGATCTCTCTGTATGGTAAAACATTAAAATGAAATGGAGCAAGTTTGCTAACTTAAATTTCAATAGATCTGCATCTGTTAGTTTTATATCTGGCAACTTGGAAAGGAGGTATTGAAGGGTGTGTGGTTATAAGGGTTGTGTGCCAGTCGCTAAAGTACTAATATAGAGAGCCTGAGAAGTGCTGCATATGAGTTAAGTGTTCCTAGTGGTTTAATTTAAAAAGCTGGCTGAAAGTTTAATAAACTCTGTATTTAGTCATTTAATTGTACACCCAGAACAATCTGATAAGGGAATATGTGAGCTATCGCATCCTACAGAGCCACATTAGTCAGGAAAATGTTCAACGAATAATCTATGACAATATAAATTACACAGTACTAAACCTTAGGATCAAGAAAAGCTAAACAACATGAGAACGCTAGAAGATGGTATTCCCCAGCAGAACAATGGGGAAAACTCATAATCTAAATACAGAAAACCTAAACCTGCAGACCAAAGCCACGTAGTTTCCACCAGTAGGGTCACAATTGAAGGACCATCAAGCAGAAGATAACTCCATGCACCGTGGAGCAACCAATGTAGCAGGCCTTCATAAAGCTTTCTCATCTAAACTCCGAAAAACACACAGGCCAAACTGTTCTACCACCAACAAATACCGTATATTTCGCTTAATCTTGGGATCAAGATCTCCCACTTAAATCAGCATGAAGTGGTTCAATAAAATAGCTAAATAAGATAAGTAGGACATCTTGGAAAGCCGAAGGAAGACAAATTGTTTTACGCTTCCTTAGACCTCTGGAAACTCCCTATAATGGCACTATGCTTACTATAACCACTACAGTATACTGCAGTAGTTATGGTGCTAGAATTCCCTTGATAAGGAGTCAAACCATTTGTGTACATACTGTAAGTGTCGAGATTCTTATTGCACATGTGTCACATCAACTACACCTGTGTTGCGACAGAATTCACTTGAACCTCCCATGGCACAGAACCCCACACGTTTAGTATACGCTGGCAATGCTGCTCACGGAGGCACCGTACACAGAGGAATGAAAGTGCATACGGTAGGAAATATAAAAGAAGGACTGACTCCTGCAACTTTCAGAGGATTAAAATAGGAAAAACTTATAAGGCAGCAGTCGAAATGCATGGCCAGGTGCGTAGAACAGGCCCTTGTCATACATTTCAAGGAGGCTTCTGACTCACTGTTAAAATTTTGCTTTTCATTTCTGTTTATTTTCCTAAATAAATATTGTGAAAAAACAAACAAACCTTTAATTAGCAGTGAAAGGAAATACCCATAAACCAGACAATCAAAAACTGCAACCCGGTTGTGGAAATTTATGGATTCAGTGCTCTGTAGTTAGTCAGTCCTAACCAGTAGGCACTCCATAGACCTGTAAGAAGCCAAATTACTTTTGAGAAAATTCACCTTGGGTTCCCTGCACAAGTAGGAAACCTGGTAAACCACAGTGTGGCATCCAACTCCTTTAAAGGGGAACTCTAAGCAAAATAACCGCGATGGCTCGCTGCAGTGGTTGTACTGGTTGGAGTGCCCTGGTACTGTGTCTGTTTAGATCAAACCGTAATGAAAGAACAGTATGATATGAACAGAGGGTGTACATATATATTCCGGACCCTATAGTGTTAAAAACACGTTGGGTGGCTGGCCCCCCCCTGTTCTCCATAAATACTACTTTTTCCCCAGCACCATGCAGGTCTGCTGGCGCTGGCCAAGCACACGCTCTGCCTCCTTGGGATTGACAATTAACAATCTAAACCAATCCAATGCTTTTGTGCTTGCGTGAAAAAAACGCCATGCTCGTGGAGATGTATTGAATCAATGCATCTCTATGGGGAACGTTCAACATTGTGCAGCACTGACCCAGGAAGCAGCTCTAGTGGTGGTCTGCGTGACTGCCACTCGAGGTGTCACTAGGCAGCAATGTAAACATGACAGCACACATGATTTAGGCAGCTGCAGTAGCCTGTGATTGGACACCGCGCAGCACCTCTGAGATCAGAGAGGGCAAGGAAGTCAGCAACATGAGCTTTGCTACACAGACTGATTTCTTAACACATTTTTTTGCGAAGTCCCCCTATGGCGACATCGATGCTCGTTGGGCAATAGCCCAAGGGTGCTGGGCAATGTAATTTTTACTTACCTGAAGCTGTCACGTGCCACCATCTCCATCCAGGGGATCATATTCAGCAATTGGTGCTTCATCTTCCCTGAGACCATGTCAGTGCTGTAACTTCGCTCATGGCGAGAGTACAACACTTATTGTCTATGAAGAATTCCGCGAGACGCTCCATAGACAATGCCTTTTTCCTCAAAGCCATCAGTAGTGACGGCTTGGGGAATTAAAAAAAAAACAAAAAAAAAACACATACATTTCAGAAAAATTCCAAGACAGTCAATGTGAGTATTTCATAAAGATTTTATCATTATAAAATTCTAATTTTACACATTACTCGGCGTATTATTGCTGTGGAGCTCTGTTATACACTCAGACACACCAACAATATAAGATAAGAGGGGCATTATAAAATAGGGACTGATCCTCCTAAAAAGGGACACTTGGGAGGTATGATATAGGCATTAAATTATGATTTACATTATATGAGCTTTGCTACATGCCACCCATTAGGGTACTTGTACTTACAACTGGATATTAACTTCTTGGAACTTGCAATTGCTCTGGCAAGGGAACTCCACTAGCAAGTTTATACATCTAAACCACTGAAAACAAACTGGCAGAGCTGCATGTGGCTGCGTAACAGGACCTTACTCATTCATTGCCATTTTTTGGGCCTTACTACAAAATGATGCATCAAAACTCTCATCACAGCCAGCCATCCTCATTGCCTGTGAATGGTGGAAGCTATAATCCTTTATTTCAGCTCAAGACCCACCAAAGCTGTGAATAATATGGGGTGCAGTACTGCATTCCTCCATCTGTCTTTGGACTGGCCCTACTAGCCATTTTCTCTGCAGGGAATTATGAGAGCTGCAGTCCAATAAAAGCTAGAGGGCCTGGCTGCAAACCACTGATAAAGCTGTTCTCATTTAGGTGTGTACCACCAGCTGGTACATTCCAGTCTGTCTGCAGAGGTGTTAGTTAACCCACTATTCACCCAGCTCAGGATTATAGCAGATATCTATTTAAATCTACATAAAACCTTATCAAATTCAGGATTAGATTGCAAGCCTTTAGGTCAAGGTCCACCAACAAAATGCAGTTTGGCACAAAATTGATTAGTGCTCATAGTACTGACTCATCCACTTCCCCTGCCCCCCCACCTCCTAAAATCCTACACAACCCCACCCCCTCTCCAACATTCATTCAGACTTACCCCAAACTTTTTCCAGGAAGGGGGTGTAGGTGGTAGTGGAGTGTGAAAGAGGGCAGGATGGTGTTTGAAGCTGATGGGTATACAATGAGTGTGCACTCATGGGAGTATGAGTGTGTGATTTCCTCTAAGTGTAGTTCCTGTGCCTGGATGCAGTTGGGGTATCTGATGTGGGGTATTCAGCAGAGGGGCCCATTGAGGGGAGCAGGGGGGCAGGGGGGGGGGAAGGGGTAATAGGCTGCTGTGCTGGAGGAGTAACCAGCCTGTGCCCTGCTTCTCTGCACACTCACTCTGCTACTCCTGCCAGCTGATTGTGTCTCAGTGCTAACCCTCTCCAAAACCCCGCCCACTGCAAGCCCAAGCTGCCCTCCTATTGGTGCAGTGCACTCAGTTGCTATTGGAGGGGAGGGATGCCACTGCAAAGCTGCAGCCTCCCTGACACTGTCTGTATCCTCCCAGCTCACCTTGCAGCATTAACCCCTGCACTGCCACACCACACTCACCCTGCTATAGTTAACATAATGTGTGCCTCCAGCTAAAATCCAGTATTAACCCTTAAACTCCCAGCTCTCCATGGATGCATCAGCCCTTGCAAAACCAGGAATGTGCTGTATCCTCCCCCCAGTTAACACCCCCCCTAGCATTAACCCCAAAGGCCCAGCTCTTCTTGAAACATTAACCCCTTACAATCACAAGCCTGATCAGGATGGTCTCAGTCAGCCAACCAGCATTAAAATTCCTCAGTCTCTCAGCATTCCCTGTGATGTTAACCATTTCACTGCCAGGCACTTATCAGGTCCTCCCAGCTAAACCCCTGGTATTAACCCATTCAGCCCCCATCTCAGTGTTATCAGTCAGGCATATAGTCTTTGTTAGCCCAGCATTAACCCATCACACCCCACTTATCCCAGCATCATTAACACCCCCTCCCCTGCCCTGCTAGGAAAACACTGTGTAATCCCAGCTCACAATGCAGCATTAAATGCCATGCACTGCAATCAGTACTGTGCAGTGTCCTCCCAGCTCCTAGTGCCCATTAACCCTATGCATTCAGGACTTCCCCTCTTCTGTATTAACCCCTGAATCTCCCATTCCTTCACACAGCTGTATCCTGCTATTTGACACCACAGCAATAAACCATGTCCCCCCCCTCCCCTATATAAAGTATACAATAGTTTACCTTTTACAGATTAACCCCTACATGGCCTGCTCTCAGAGTTCCAGCTCTATCCTGTGTAATCCTGTGCAACTTGTCCCCCAGCACAGTCTATGACTCCAGTGCTGGGCGATGCTAAGAGAGATTTGCTGAAATCCCATCCTACCTTGTTTTGTTCAGGAACTACAGAACATGCCCCTCTGAATTTTGCACCACCAAGCACCACCCCCTCACGCCCTCTGTCAAACCCCCTCACTGTGAATTTTTAAACTTTCTGTTGTTGTTGTCCTCATACTGAGCTGAACATCCCTGGCCTAGCCTGTCTGCACTGGGATATTGCAGAGTATTGTCCTAATATGAATGAACTCCTTCTAACATGTCCTGCCACCTCTCCAGTGTACTTTAACCCCTCCAAAGCCAGGGTTTATAGTCCGTGCATTATCCTATTTGGAGAATAACTAATATCCAACAAGCTGCTTTATACAGTTACACTTGTTTTCATAGGGTTCAGTAATTAACTGCTGAGCTCCTAGTTCCTACAATCTGTAACAGTTATGGCTTTTTTTCACACTAAATGATGTTAACTATCAATCCCAAGGAGCTCAGCATGGTGGGGAGCATAGCGCACAAACATATTTCTCTGCATAATGGGGAACATAGTCCACAAACATCTGGCCATGGCAAAGCTCTGGTTATTGGTTGGACTATAAAATACACTGTGCTTTCAGGAAGCATTAACCATGAGCCCATAAAACAAAGAGTGGATACAACTTCCTTATGATCTGAATTTAGATGGCAAATAAATCTGTAGGATCTGATTCATCAGCAGAGTGTGTGCCCTTAGAACATACTTATATGCTAGATAACATGGTGTGCGCCCTGACAACATGCTCACTGCTAGATAACATAGTGTGCGCCCTGACAACATGCTCACTGCTAGATAACAGTGTACGACCTGACAACATGCGCACTGCTAGATAACATGGTGTGCGCCCTGACAACATGCTTACTGCTAGATAACATAGTGTGCGCCCTGACAACATGCTCACTGCTAGATAACAGTGTGCGACCTGACAACATGCGCACTGTTAGATAACATGGTGTGCGGCCTGACAACATGCTCACTGCTAGATAACATAGTGTGCGACCTGACAACGTGCTCACTGCTAGATAACAGTGTGCGACCGGACAACATGCGCACTGCTAGATAACAGTGTGCAGCCTTACAACATGCGCACTGCTAGATAACATAGTGTGCGGCCTGACAACATGCTCACTGCTAGATAACAGTGTGCGACCGGACAACATGCGCACTGCTAGATAACAGTGTGCAGCCTTACAACATGCGCACTGCTAGATAACATGGTGTGCGGCCTGACAACAAGCACACTGCTAGATAACATAGTGTGCGCCCTGACAACATACGCACTGCTAGATAACATAGTGTGCGGCCTGACAACATGCTCAATGCTAGATAACAGTGTGCGACCTGACAACATGATCACTGCTAGATAACAGTGTGCGACCTGACAACATGCGCACTGCTAGATAACAGTGTCCAGCCTTACAACATGTGCACTGCTAGATAACATGGTGTGCGGCCTGACAACAAGCGCACTGCTAGATAACATAGTGTGCGCCCTGACAACATGCTCACTGCTAGATAACATAGTGTGCACCCTGACAACATGCTCACTGCTAGATAACATAGTGTGCACCCTGACAACATGCTCACTGCTAGGTAACATAGTGTGCGGCCTGACAACATGCGCACTGCTAGATAACATAGTGTGCGACCTGACAACATGCGCACTGCTAGATAACAGTGTGCAGCCTTACAACATGCGCACTGCTAGATAACATGGTGTGTGGCCTGACAACATGCTCACTGCTAGATAACATAATGTGCACCCTGACAACATGCTCACTGCTAGGTAACATAGTGTGCGGCCTGACAACATGCACACTGCTAGATAACATAGTGTGCGGCCTGACAACATGCGCACTGCTAGATAACAGTGTGCGGCCTGACAACATGCTCATTGCTAGATAACATAGTGTGTGACCTGACAACATGCTCACTGCTAGATAACTTAGTGTGTGACATAACATGCGCACTGCTAGATAACATAGTGTGCAACCTGACAACATGCACACTGCTAGATAACATAGTGTGCAACCTGACAACATGCACACTGCTAGATAACATAGTGTGCGGCCTGACAACATGCGCACTGCTAGATAACAGTGTGCGGCCTGACAACATGCTCATTGCTAGATAACATAGTGTGTGACCTGACAACATGCTCACTGCTAGATAACTTAGTGTGTGACATAACATGCGCACTGCTAGATAACATAGTGTGCAACCTGACAACATGCACACTGCTAGATAACATAGTGTGCAACCTGACAACATGCACACTGCTAGATAACATAGTGTGTGACCTGACAACATGCGCACTGCTAGATAACATAGTGTGCGACCTGACAACATGCGCACTGCTAGATAACATAGTGTGCGACCTGACAACATGCTCACTGCTAGATAACAGTGTGTGGTCTGATAACATGCTCACTGCTGGATAAAATAGTGTGCGACCTGACAACATGCGCACTGCTAGATAACAGTGTGCGCACTGCTAGATAACATAGTGTGCGACCTGATAACATGCTCACTGCTAGATAACAGTGTGTGGCCTGATAACATGCTCACTGCTGAATAAAATAGTGTGTGGCCTGACAACACGCTCACTGCTAGATAACATAGTGAGCGGCCTGACAACATGCTCACTGCTAGATAACAGTGTGTGGCCTGATAACATGCTCACTGCTGGATAACATAGTGTGCGGCCTGACAACATGCTCACTGCTAGATAGCAGGATGCTAGATTGTGCATCCTTACAACATAATTTTCACTGTGTCACAGTTGTGCACACTTATATAACACTCACCGCTATGTAGCAAGGTATGCGGCCTTGTAACATACTACTTTAGCCTGAAAATAAACATTTTTATACTTCTATACAACAACAAAAATCGCCAACAGATTAGTAAATAATCCTGTTAGAATGCCCAGGGAATTGTTGGGCCATCTTTGGGCCTCTTTTCAACCCACTGGCTTCCAACACACACATGCTCCCAGACACATAAATATCACAGATACCTCATGGATATACACAGATATACACTCAAAGCATAGGCGAAACTACTGTTGGTGCATCAGCTGCAGCTGCACCGGCGCCCAATCGCCCAATGGACCCCTTGAGCGATCTGCAAAACTGTTGGTATCCGTTCAGCGATGCAGCCCTTTAACAGCGCAACCAGGTCCCTGTAATGACGGCAGCACTGAGAGGAAGTGACAACTGGTCACTTCCTTCCAGCTATCACAGAACGCAGCACGGGAGTGGCAGAAAGGAGCAGAGTGGGAGAATCTCTGACGCCCAATAACCTCAGCCAGCCGACTGTGCCACGGCAAGGGTGCATAATTTATTATTACACTATGGAATATTGCTATTTAATATAACTTGTGTACTGCATCAATAATTTGACCCTTGGGTAGAGGACAAATGGCAGAGAGAAATTGCTCTTTTGATCAAAAGGGGTGTGAAAAGGATTTCCCTCTATCAAAGGTCCTGCAAGGTGAGACATTTTACACTTGAGCCCCTGTATGTCTAGTTTCAATGTAAACTAACTGACTTTGACTATATGGCCTGAAACTCTCAATTGCTAGTTCAATCCTTTGATATGGTAATGGTATTAGTTTCATGAAGACCCATGTGTTCCAGTATCATATTCAAGAGAAACATTTAATACTTACCCATAGCTTAATAATTAAGCCTCATTTTATTATATTTGAAATGGGACAAGTCCAATCTTTTAATTAAGCCTAAACATGAGTTGCACAACTTAAACCGTGTGACATGAATTGTGATGTCCCTCCTATTGGATCGCGGGTGGGGCATGCGACGTGTCTATGGGATGGGAAAATAATAACAAATTCGTAGATGCAATTATTTTTTCTGTAGCAGGTACATAAGACAAGATAGAGCCAAATGTGTCCATTTGGATTGACGTTGGTCTAGAACAAAGGAGGTGGTCACTTATTATTTCTATAGGTACGCC